CACCAAAAGAAAGCTCTATTTGTGTGGAAAAAAAGAAGTAGATTTCATTTAGGTATATTACTGCATGACTGTGCAATTGTCAGTTAAAATAATGCAGCGCCGTAACACAAAAAAAATATTTGCTATGCGTACTTGCCATGCATATACCAAAAAATGTATTGGTGTGCCAGCAGCTTACCTCAACAATTGATCCACGCTAAGGTAAGGTCAACATACGCTTTATCCAATAACCCCGGTCGGTATAAACTGCAGCAATAATGAACCCTCTTTTATTAAATCGAATAATTAAAAGCTACCCACAAATAAAACTTCAGTGCACAAGATACTGTCTTTTTAAACCATAAAACCATGCCCCCTTAAGGATAGACATCAGCTCTTTCGATTATGTTTAAATTCTGGTTTCCTGGTGTGATGACATTATGTCACTCTGTCACTGACGTGTTTTGCCACGTGATTAGTGACTTCCCTATGAGGAATTATTAATATATGAGCACATTTTTATTGTGTCATTGTAGTACACATACTGTTTATAATTGCATGTACATAAGTGGGTTTTTTAACACTTTATATAATTAATTTTTAGATTGTACTTAAGGATTTTATCTTATGCTATATTATTGGGCTACATTTTGGTGGTACATATTATTTTGGTGTTGGAACACATGACAGTGGCTAAGTGGCAACATATAATAGACAACTAGACAATGTACACCTGTGTTCAGATTTGTAAAAAAAAATTAAGAAAAGTTTCACAGCTTCAGTTTAATTTTTTGTTATAGCCAGTGTGCAAGAGGCCTAAGACATATATTTCACTATATTTCAGGTATTCGTTCCCACAAGTCTGAGGTCAAATAATTAATTTTATGGCATCATTTTAGTATAATGTTAAATTTATTAATGAGGGCTTTAAAGTGGTAGTAAACAGCCAAAAAAAAAAAATACCCAAAAATTTCCCCTGCAAAATAGCATAATGTGCTAATATGCATCGCATGCTAGCACATTATGAAATACCTTTCTTAGAACGAAGCCCTCCAGCTGCACGCTGTCACCTCTGATAGGGCTTCCATCTTTACCGTGTCTTCCTTCTGGGTTCATGGGCTCTGGCCGCTTGATTGGCAAGCCGTGATGACATCACTTACACTCAAGATCATATCCAGACCCTTCAAGGTCACATACATCTGTATTATCATCTAACACAGACAGTGGACCACGTAAGCAGCAGCATTTTGGTGGGGGTTCTACTCACAATTCTAATGTACCTAAAAGACGCTTCAATTTATTTCCAACATTCTCCACAGATTTGGGAACACTTTTACAAAATGCACATAATCCCACAGATTCTGGGAATACTCACTCTAATGGGTCATCCTACATGGGTGCGGTAGCGGCCCTTCAGATGATACACGCACCCGTCACCATTCCAAAAAAGCACTCAACACTCTCTGCCAGGAACACGTCAACTAGACAACTTTCTTATTCACAAAGCTCTTCTAACACTAATAAAGTTTTATTACCGAATCAGTCCAATATAGGAGACAAACAAGGCACTCTCAACACTTATGTAGTCTATCCGGACCAGTCTCGCTCATCAAACATGCAAATGATAACACATTAAGCGTTATCAATTTGACTACTGAACAACTCTCTAAGAATGAATTAGCTGTATTAAGTATGGGATTGAGCTTCTGCCCTACTGCCAAGTTTGATAAATGTGAGACAATCAAGGATTTGTATCTGTTTGCGTGGAAACTTATTACAAATATATCTTTGATATTGATCGAACTAGAACTAGACTGGAAAAGGAACTTATGGAACAAATGAAACACAATACTATGCAGGACTTTGCGGGGCCTGATGCTATTACTTGATGAAAATGATCCAAATGAGGAGACGGATAACGTTACTAATTTGGATTATACAACTCTTCCCATACGTTTCAAACTAAAATCTACAAATTTTCCGGAATTGACTACTAATTCACGTGTTTTGGGCGTTCCTGATGACTACTATCACTGATTTCAAACGTGTGACCAAGGATACTAATATTTCGTTCGCACAGAGAAAAGCTCTTAATTAAAGAGTAGAACTAATTTAGTCATCAAACCATCTGATAAAAGGGGGGAATATTGTCATGTCAAAAGATTAATACAAGCATACTGTATGTGTCTTAAAATCTTGAATAATTCTCAATGGTATAAGCGAATTCCAGCTCACTTGACAGCGATTTACTACTGAATTCAAGGATTTTATCAATGGGGCATACCTCAATGCCCTAATTGATAGATACGTATGAATGTTGGAATATCAAATTTTCCTAGAGAAGCTACTTTTTTATTCCTTGCCCAAGATCCATAGGAACATATCTACTCCACCGGGAAGGCCAATCGTTTCGGGTATTGGCTCCCAAACTGAAAATGCAAGTAAATTTGTTGACTTTTTTTCTTATGCCACATTTTACATGACTTCCATCGTATGTTAAAGATACTTTAGATCTACTTAAACATATTGATGGTCTATCTGTGACCCTTGATGCCCTCCTTGTGACTATTGATGTGGAAGCCCTATATTCTAGTATACCACATGATCAGGGAGTAGCAGTGGTGCGCTCCTTCCTGATGGAGCAAGATCGCACAGAGTGGACTTTTTGTAACTTTGTTTTGGATTTATTGCACTATATTCTGACTCATAACTGGTTTACTTTTATGGGCTCCCATTACCTCCAGGTACAGAACGTTGCTATGGGCACCTGCTGGGCCCCATCTTACGCCACTTTCTACCTGGGGGAATGGGAGCATCACATATTTTTGGATGACACCCTCGCCAAATACGTCGACCATGCCCCTTGCTGGTTCAAGTATATTGATGATGTGTTTGTCATTTAGACCAGTACCTCAGACGTTTTGGATTAATTTATGCAACTATTGAATAGGAACTTTTTCAATCTGACCTTTACTATGAACTGGCATAGGAACACCGTTGCTTTCGTTGATTTACAAATCTTCAAAGACACTACAAACTGTCTGGCCACTAAATTGTTTCGGAAAGAAACAGCTGGAAATACTATACTTCAGACACATAGCTCTCATCCTCCCGCCTTGGTTAAAAGCATACCCTTTCTTTGCACAATACATTCGCCTACTGCGTAATTGTACATACTTAGATGACATTAAACATCAAGTTGGGCTTCTACGACAACGTCTTTTGGTGCAGGGCTATAGTAGGGCTCATTTATGTAAGGTCTACAATAAGGCATTGGCCCAGGATAGAACAAGTTTACTATATTCTACATCTAAATTTAAGGTGGAACATCCAACTGTCAGATTTATAACACAATATTCTGTACGACATCAGGAATTAGCTAAAGTATTACAACATCATTGACAACTCCTGTGGTTGGATCCTATTCTACATAAATATATCAAAAACTATCCTGAGGTGGTGTTCTGCAAAGCTACGTCCATCAGAGATAGAGTGATGTCAAGCCATTATGTTCCAGGGACTATTTGTTCCACACTTCCCAATTTTTACCCGTGGTAGGTGTACATACTGCCCCTGGGTACAGGCTGGAGTACAAATTTATTTTGCCTAATGGAGAAATGTTTTTTCCTAAATTTCATGCTAGCTGTACTACCAGGGGAGTAGTCTATCTCATGACATGTACTTGTGGGGCCTACTACATAGATAAAACCATACGTCAGTTTAATCAGAGAATACATGACCATGTTTATTATTCATCTAATGCCAAAATGCTTACCCCTATTAGCCGTTGTTTGGGACTTTATCACAAATTTGTTACTACTCATGCTAGATTTACTGTCTTGGAAGCAGTGGCCAAAGACCCACGTGGAGGTAATTGGGACAAAAAAATCCTGTGTACGGAAACTGTGGATTGAACATCTTAATGCAGTAAACCCACCAGGCCTCAATGAAATTCTATCATATAGATCATTTTTATGAAACCAAGGTGCAACTTCTTAGGTTATCAATCCTGGATTTTGTGATGTCACTATATGGACCCAGAAGTGATAATGTTGTGTTTGTAATTCAGTACAGGGGTACTTAAGGTGGCTTTTCACAGTTGTGTGATGAGCTAGGTGTTATTTCCGGAGAATGTGAGTGCATTATGTGTCATTTTATCTTTGCTTAATAAAGCAGTTTATTGTGCTGTTAGGGCATGCACTTCCTTGGTCTGTGGTTTTTTTTTTTTTTTTTTTTTTTTTTTTTTTTTTTTTCACGTTTAGATTCTACACAGTCCTTGTTTTGGCAATTCAAGAGATGGCTGCAAAGATCCTCATATAGTGAAGGCTGGATTGGAGCTTTTTTGGCCGCTCACACTTGAGCACGAGAGTGGGATTACCCTAGGTCAGTGATGGCGAACCCGTGGCACGCGTGCCACAGCCGGCACGCCGAGCCTTATCTGTGGGCACGCCAGGAGAATACCGTATTTTTCGCTCCATAAGACGCACTTTTTTTCCCCCAAAAAAGGGGGGAAAATGTCAGTGCGTCTTATGGAGCGAATATAGAGCGGCCGGTCCGGTATTTCCACCGCCGCCGTGTCAGAATACCGAGCTGGCCGCTCAGCTCTGCAGTGGGACCGTACCTGTCCCTCTATCCAGCGGCGCGCTGTCTTCCCGGCTTCTGTAGTGTGCGTGACAGCCGGGTCCCAAGTGCGCATGCGCAAGAAGCAGTGCTCTTTGTGAATGGTAAGGCGGTACCTGGGACACATGACAGATCCCAGAAGCCGCTGGACCAATCACAAAGCGCAGCGCTTTTCGCGCATGCGCACTGGGCATCCGGCTGTCCGACGAGCGCCCACACTACAGAAGCCGGGAAGACAGCGCGCGGCTGGATAAAGGAACAGGTAAGATAAAAAAAAAAAACTGCGCGAAGTAAGAGCGGGTACCTGTCAAATTCAGGTACCCGCTCCCCACCTCCCCAAAGGTCAGCAGTCATCTGTACTGTCCGCAGTCTCTGGTCATCCCTGTGCTTTCCGCAGTCTCTGGTCATCTCCTGTACTGTCCGCAGTCTCTGGTCATCTCCTGTACTGTGTCCGCAGTCTCTGGTCATCTCCTGTACTGTCCGCAGTCTCTGGTCATCCCTATACTGTGTCCGCAGTCTCTGGTCATCCCTGTACTGTCCGCAGTCTCTGGTCATCCCTGTGCTTTCCGCAGTCTCTGGTCATCTCCTGTACTGTCCGCAGTCTCTGGTCATCCCTGTGCTTTCCGCAGTCTCTGGTCATCTCCTGTACTGTCCGCAGTCTCTGGTCATCTCCTGTACTGTCCGCAGTCTCTGGTCATCCCTGTACTGTCCGCAGTCTCAGGTCATCTCCTGTACTGTGTCCGCAGTCTCTGGTCATCCCTGTACTGTCCGCAGTTTCTGGTCATCCCTGTACTGTGTCCGCAGTCCCTGGTCATCCCTGTACTGTCCGCAGTCTCTGGTCATCCCTGTACTGTGTCCGCAGTCTCTGGTCATCCCTGTACTGTGTCCGCAGTCTCTGGTCATCCCTGTACTGTGTCCGCAGTCTCTGGTCATCCCTGTACTGTGTCCGCAGTCTCTGGTCATCCCTGTACTGTCCGCAGTCTCTGGTCATCCCTGTACTGTGTCCGCAGTCTCTGGTCATCCCTGTACTGTCCGCAGTCTCTGGTCATCCCTGTACTGTCCGCAGTCTCTGGTCATTCCCTGTCCTGTGTCCGCAGTCTCTGGTCATTCCCTGTACTGTCCGCAGTCTCTGGTCATCCCTGTACTGTCCGCAGTCTCTGGTCATCCCTGTACTGTCCGCAGTCTCTGGTCATCCCTGCACTGTGTCCGCAGTCTCTGGTCATCCCTGTACTGTGTCCGCAGTCTCTGGTCATCCCTGTACTGTGTCCGCAGTCTCTGGTCATCCCTGTACTGTCCGCAGTCTCTGGTCATCCCTGTACTGTCCGCAGTCTCTGGTCATCCCTGTACTGTTAATTAGTTTGCACTACTGTACGAGTTGTTTTTTTTCTAAACCAAAAGCTCGATATTCAGGTTTCATTGCAGTGTTGGCACTTTGAAAGAAATAAGTTGGTTTTGGGTTGCAGTTTGGGCACTCGGGCTCAAAAAGGTTCGCAATCACTGCCCTAGGTTCACACCTAAGCGTTTTCTGCAGCATTTTGCGTTTTGTAGAAACACAGTACAGTCCATTTAATATGATTTCTTATGGGACGTGTTCACAACTGCTGCGTTTTTTGGAAAGGGTCAGAGATTTTTTGAATGCAAAAAGTTGCGTTTTTGATTCTATAGACTTCAATGGAAACGCTGTTGAAAAGCATGTATTGCGTTTTTGCTGCATTTTTTGCCACGTTTTTGATGCTTTTTGCATTTTAAATCTGCCTAGCAACAAGAAAAATAAAAAATGGAGAAAAAAATGCAAAACGCGTCAAAAACGCAGGTGCAAAATGCAACGCAAAATGCAATACAGAAACGGCTCAAATGCAACCTGCATAGGCGTGAAGCTAGCCTAAATGTTAATCTGGTTAATGAAATGTTATTTTTGTGATTTAAACAGTGGGTAAACATCCATTGGGATTGGTTCCATGGAAAATGGTGATCTTGAAAATTTTAAATCTTCATTCTGCTATTCAAAATAAAAAATTTAAATGCTGATTTCATTTAATTGTGGTTTGCGACCAGTTACCAAACCAATTAAGTGGCCCACACTCTTCAAAAGCTTGAGCACCCTTTTTTCCTGGGTGGACATCCATTCTTCTGCAAATGCAGCTTTTGGGTGCAAGGTTCTTGCAGTGGAACTGTTGGGCCTGTTGGCACATTTCTATGCTTAGTGTTGCCCACCCTTCTCATTCATTGTTTGGGGACATCCCAGGGTTTATGAATACTTATCATGTGTCCTGTACTGTTCAATAAAAAAGATTTGGAAAATACCTGTAAATTCCATACAGTACAGAACACAGGATACACTCCCTTTTTTTTCTTGGGTTACTCTGCATTGCTTGCTGCAAAACTGAAGAATCAGAGTAGGCTAAGTTTATTTGGGGGGGGGGGGGGTGCCAATGCCCAGGGGACAGGTTCTCAAAAGCTTGCCAGTGATTAGTCCAATCACTGGAAGATACCAGCCTATAATCCAGGGTCTACGAATATTCGACCCGATACTGTACTTCAAGATACTGGATTTACAGGTAAGTCAAAATTAATTTTTTATGTTTTGCTGACTAAAACAAGGTTCTCTACATTGATCATTTGCATCATCCAGCTTTTATACCATTATAACACATTCCCAGCTCTGTCTCCATTAATAATAGCCTCAGAGCCACCACCATAGGCTATAGATGTTTGTGGTGTGGTGTTGACTGACTTAACTTTACTTTAAGCTGGCCATACACAAACTAATCATTTGACCGGTTTAGCAGGAGCTGGCTGAATTTCAATCAGTGGGGGCTCCCTCGCTTAACAGAATTGATTTAATCACTTGCTGTCCAAGCCAATTCTGACATTTCTCACTTGCATGTAAAAATCAGCATTTTTTTTTTTGCTAGAAAATAACTTGAAACCCCCAAACAATATATATTTTTCAGAAAGCAAAGTTTCTGGAGAATAAAATGTTATTTGTTGCAATTATCTACGGTCACACAATATTTGCACAGTGGATTTATCAAATTATTATAATACAGTATTTATAAAGCACCAATAGTTCGCTCAGCGCTGTACATTACAAAGGGGGACAGAACATGTGACAGAACAGCAACAATACAATGCAAAAAACATGAGGGGATCGAGAGCCCTGCTCTTTCGAGCTTACAATCTAGGAGGGAGGGGATGGTGGCACAGGAGATGCAGATTTTCAGGAAAAATTGCACTTTCGTGAATTTTAGTGCACACGAAACACAATATAATATCCTGTTTTTGGCAAAATATAAAAGATTCTACGCGAAGTAAATGGATACTTAACATGTCATGCTTTAAAATTGCATACACCTGTGAAACGGTAGCAAACTACGTTACCTAAAAATCTCCATAGGCTGCACTTTAAAAGACTTTAAAGGTTACAACCTTAGTTACACAGTAGGTCTGGCATTAGAATTTTGCTTTCAGTCTGACATTTGCGACTATTCCTCATGTGTGGTGCGATCACATTTTACATATGCGTGCAGGTCCTATGTGTGCATTTGCGCAAGAGTACAGGTGGATGAGGACACTTTAAGAAAAAGTTGTTAATATTTATTTAAAAAAAAATATATATATTTATATTTTTTTTTCCCCATGGTACCTTTTTTCACCATTTGCTCTCCTGAGGGTTTACCCCCCCCCCCCCCCCCCCCCCCCCCCCCCCCCCCCCCCCCCCCCCCCCCCCCCCCCCCCTCTTGACCAGGCCATTTTTTTGCTGTTCGGCACTGCGATATTTCAACTAGTAATTGTGCGGTCATGCAATTCTGTACCCAAACAAAATTTATGTCCTTTTTTTTTTCTCACACAAATAGAGCTTTCTTTTGGTGGCATTTGATCACCTCCTGTGGTTTTTATTTTTTGCGCTATAAACAAAAAAATACCAAACATTTAAAAAAAAAATGTTTTTCTCTTTTCGTTATAAAAAAGTATCCAATAAACTCAGTTAGTCATAAATTTAGGCTAAAATGCTACATGTCTTTGGTAAAAAAAAATCTCAATACATGTATATTAATTGGTTTGTGTGAAATTTATAGCATCTGCAAACTATGGTATATATATATTGGAATTTATGTAGCTTTTACTTTCTGATTGCCTATCACATTTCTTGAGGTGCTAAAATGCCAGGGCTGTACAAACACCCCCAAATGACCCCTTTTTGGAAAGTAGACACCCCAAGGATTTTGCAGAGAGGCATGTTGAGTCCATTGAACATTTTTATTTTTTGCCACAATTTTTTTTTTTTTTTCACACAAAAAATTGTCACTAAATAATATATTGTTCATGCATGCCATGGGTATATGTGGAATAACACCCCAAAACACATTCTCCCACTTCTTCCGAGTTCGGGGATAGCACATGTGAGAGACTTTTTTTGGCAGTCTAGCTTCACACAAGCCTCCAAAATCCAATGACCACCTCCAGGCTTTCAAAGGGCATATTTCCTCATATCACTTGCCCACTACCTATCATAGTTTCAGAGGCTCTAAAATGCCAGGATAGAACAACAAACACCCCCCCCCATGACCCCTTTTTGGAAAGTTGACACCCCAAGGAATTTGATAAGAGGCATGGTGAGTATTTTACAGATATCATTTTTGTCACAGGTTTTTGAAAAAGAAAAGAAAAAATACATTTTTTGTTTTCTTTCTTTGTTTTCCAAAAACATGTGGCAACAAATGAGATAAGCAGAACATTCACCATGCCTCTTAGCAAATACCTTGGAATGTATACTTTCCAAAAAGGGGTCATTTGAAAGGGTTACTTCTATCCTGGTAGGACCAACATTAGAAGCTTATGCCCAACATCACCCACTCTTGAAGACCAAGCCTTTTCTGACACTTTGTTCACATGAAAAAACTATTTTTGCTAGAAAATTACTTTAAAACCCCAAACATTATATATTTTTTTAAAGCAGAAGTCCTAGAGAATAAAATGGATGGTGTTGAAAAACACAATATATTGCCCAATTGTTTGATAAAATATAAAAAGATCATGTTACGCAGAGTAAATAGATACCAAACATGACATGCTTTAAAATTGCACATGCCCGTGCAATGGCAACAAAGTACATACATTTTTATTATCGATAGGCGATGCTTAAAAAGCCTTACAGGTCATCAGTTTATATTTACACAGGAGGACTAGTGCTAGAATTACTGCCTTCGATCTGATGTTCGTGGAGATACCTCACATGCATGGTGCAACCGCTGTTTACATACCGTCACTGGGTCAACGCTTGCGCACGCAGGGAGCAAGGGTGCTTTTTTTTTTTTTTTTTTTTTTTTTTTCTTTAGTTATTTTGATTGTTTTTTTTTTTTTTTACACTGTCCATTTTTAATTTTTTTTTATCACTTTTAATGCTATCACAGGGAGCGCAAATATCCCCTGTAACTTCAATGGGCATTGTCATAGATTCTTTTTTGAGACATCTGGGGTCTATCGGACTCTAGATATCTTCTCTGCCCTTACATTATCTAATCTCACCAAGATCGGTGTGATCAGATGCTTTCCCGATTTGCAAATGGCGCTGTTTATATCCTGCGAAACTGAAGTGATGAAAAGCACATAGCTTCTGATATCTTAGACTATAGAGATGATTGGAGCCATTCTGGTCTCTCACCTGCTGTATGGTAAGCCAGCGGAACTGCCGACTGCATTCTCGGATTCCCCTGTGGGACAGGAGAGCCCAAAAAAACTGTGGAAGGCAGCAGGGGTGGGGGGATGTCCCTTCCCACTGCTCGTAAAAACAATTCAGCAGCTAATTGGCCACTAGGATTGCTTTTAAATGAAAGCCAACCACCAGCTGAAAACAAAACGATACCAGGAGCTGCAGGCATCATCTTGGTATAACCACTCAAAGTCCAGCGATGTACCAGTACATTGCTGGCCCATGTTGGGCATATATGTAACAGCAGAGAACATGGGCATATGATAAATTGGCTCTGTGCTGATGATTGCTGATGATTGATATATGACCTCAATTCATTATTTTTTG